AAAATTGAATTCCACCTGCATAATTTTTTTTATTTCCCAATGCCTTGGCAACAGAAAAAATTAGTCCATTTCAAGTAGATGACACATTTTACACATCCAGCATCTGTTCAAATACTCATCCAGTTGAATCTCAAAATTCCACATTGCATACTTCTCGAGAAAACAAAAGTACAAATATCTTTCAGTTTCATTGATATTTTGAATTTATGGGCACAAACAGTCGTATGGGTTTAACAAAGAAGACTAACTATAAACATGGATTGCATGCGACAGAAATCAAAATAAGTTGTTAACATACCTTAGGAATCTACCAAAGTTGCTACAAGTGAAAATTGATTTCACTCAAATAGCTTACTTCTATCACCAAACAATAATTTATACCAAGTTTAGTCAATCAATAGTAGACGTGAAAAACAAACCCACCGAAGTTAAAGAAATGGTGAATGGCCAACCTGAGGCAAAAGCTCTGTATCAAAAGAATGCAAATCTAAGAGACCAGGACTGAACTCATTGGGCAATTCTTCACCGTTCTTCCTCTGGCTCGACTGCCATGAACTAACAGGAGGACTCATAGGCTCAGCAAAAAAGTCATTCCCCATATTGAATTCCCTTTGCACGTTCCTATAAATTCTAGATCCTTGCCCTCCTCCAGCTCCACCTCCGTCGCCATAAAATGCAAAATCCTGCTCTCAAGTCAAGCAAAAAAATAACACAATCAAGCATTCGAATTTCGATACAATAAACAAATCGTATTGAACATTGATCCATAAGTCAATCCTCCAATCAAAACCTTCCAGCATTACTTTGTACTCTTCCCGGTAGAAGAACGTCAATTGAGCATAAAATTTTTGAACAGATTAACACAAAATTTCTCTTTTACTTCTAGCTCTTTTCACTATTTCCCCTTAGAAACTGATTTAAAATCTAAAAAAAGAAATTTATCCAAAGAGAAAACCCATTTATGATCCAACCAAATGGCATCTAAAAAAACAATAAATTATTGTAGTGCCAAAAAAGGGAGCTCTTTTCTCGCAATTTTCCTTATCATTAAGATTACAAATTTCGTAATCATGGATCTAAAAAATTACACACTTTCCGTTTATACCAAAAGTAGTACGTGTAAGTGTACTCAAATATTCATTTCGTGTCATCTGCGCATTATCCGGAACCAAAAATGAAACAAAAATCTAAAAAGAAAAAAAAAAGCGTGAGGACCTGAAGAGGAGGAATAGAGTTGTTACAAGAGTGAAGATGCTGAAGGCCGGCAGACTGAAGCCATCTTCCATTCGACGTCGTTTCCAAGAAGTTATCAGAGTCTTGTCTCTGATGGTGCACCTGCAACCCTGACGCACCAGATCGCCTCCCCTGTCTTCCCATTCCGTTCATCTCCCGCAACTCGCTCCCCTTCCTCAATTATTTATACTCACAATGGAATATTTTATTTGAAAAACAAAAACTTGGATGCTTTGATCCAAAGCTGCTCTTTTTCCGTTCCTTCTTAAAAATGAAATTAACAAAGAGAAAATTGCACCCCGATCACCCGATTTACACTTAATCGGGTTTTTTCCCTAAGCAAAGAAGCTTCTCTGCCTTTAGGTTTCGGTTACAGACAAGATTCAAAGGAGGAGTGAAAAGGAAGATGACTGTCTGTCAGTGATATGAAGAGAGAGAGGGATGTTTGATTTTTGAATTTTGAAGACAGATTTCGAGACATGTGCGGCACGTGTCGTGAGGGTGAAAGAAGGGAGGCTTGAAACGGCAACGTATTGTTCTTTGATTGGGATAGTGGTGGATCCAGTGGGCCGTAAAGCGTTTGGGAAAATTGGAATTCTTTTAAAAGAATAGGCCAATCAGCAATCATCGCCCCACATGATAGGGCCCTGAAGAGATTAATCCGTTGCGGCCGGTTTTTGACTTTATATAAACTAAAATATATTAAACATCGCTAAATTATGTTTAAATAATTATTTTAATTCAAATTTTAAAAATAATAAAATAAATATTAAATTTATTAAAATGATTATAAAATGATTATTATGATATAGGGATAAAGAAAGATTGCATAAAATCATATTTTTTCATTCCGATTATAACTTAAAATATTATTTATTATATCTAATGTAATTTGACTCGATCTGATTTAAAACATATATTATATCACCCGCATAGTATCAATACATGTTTTATTCTAAAAGATACATTTTTATCTATCTTTATATTTTAGAAATTCGTCATTTAAATTAAAACTAATAAAATATTAATGTTAAAATAATATATTATATATCAAATTTGAATGATGATTCTTTAAAATTAATTAAAATTTTATATATTAAATTAATAATTTATTTAAAAATTTCAAATATAAAATATATAAAGTCAAAGTATAAGACAATAAGGAAAGAACAAGATAAGATATTGGCATAAATGGTAGAGGCAAACCAATTAGTGTTGGTTATAAGGGTGTTTAATCAATTAATTCAGTCATCAATCGAATGGAATTCTCATTAACTGAAATTTTTAATCGTTAATTGAATCAATTTTTTTTAAATATTAACTGAATCGAACAAATATCAGTTAATTAAGTCACCAGTCGAATTAACTGAATTTATATATATATATATATATATATATTAGTTGGATTATTTTAAGTTTATTAGAGGTATTTTTATTTAAGTTAAATTTTAATTAAGTCTTGATAATTTAGTGAGTTTAGTGTGGTTGAAACATAATTGAGTATTAATTCTTAATGGATTTGAGCTTAAAATATGTATTTAATATTTAATATTAATATGTCATCATAAGATAATTTCACGTTATTATTGGGGAGAAATTACAAAATGTTTCATAAACAATTATGTTAATCTTTTAATGACAGTTGACTAAAATAATACAAAAATATATTAAATTTGATTTTAATAAGATTAATTAAATGACCAAACTAGACTTATACAAATAGTTAGATAACTCGATATGTAGTTTTCTTGTTTTGAATTAATAGATCTAGTCAATTTGCTTTTTTTAACTTTGCAACGTGGAGTTTTCATGGATGTCCTTCCCACCAACTAGAATGAGACCCCATACCTTTGAATCTTCATGAAACTTCTCGAACTAACCAGACACCTCCAACCAGCCTTTTTTTAGATTCCCTCCCAGCCTCTCACCCTTCAATCCTCGTTCTCGTAGCCTCGAAACTAACGAAACCGTAATTTTCTTCCATTGAAGCAAATTCACAAGCATCTGGAAGCTATGGCAGAAGACGGAGCAGTAACACTCTACAATAACACAGCCATCACTGATCCCAAGCAAAATTCATTCTCGATCAAAGTGGGCTTAGCACAAATGCTCCGCGGCGGAGCCATTCTCGAAGTGTCAACCCCAATCCAAGCCAAAATCGCCGAAGAAGCAGGCGCCTGTTGTTTTAGTCGTCACTGAACACAACCCCCGAGGCATTTCACGCATGCCGGATCCTGCTCTAATCAAACAAATAAAACGCGTCATTTCGATCCCCATCATGGCTCGCTCCCGCGTCGGCCATTTCGTTGAAGCCCAGATACTCGAACGAGTTGGAGTCGATTACATTGACGAAAGCGAGGTTTTAGCCTTAGCTGATGAAGAGCATTTCATCAACAAGCATAATTTTAGGAGCCCTTTTGTTTGTGGCTGCAAGAATCTTGGCGAAGCGTTAAGGAGAGTTAGGGAAGGAGCTGCAATGATTAGAACGCAAGGGGATTTGTTAGGCACTGGTAACATTGCTGAAACGGTTAAAAAACGTCAGGTCTGTGATGGGTGAAATCAGGATTCTAAATAACATGGACGAAGATGAAGTTTTTGCATTCTCGAAGAAAATTGCCGCACCTTATGATTTGGTTGCTCAAACTAAGCAAATGGGGAGACTGCCAGTGGTGCATTTTGCCGCTGGTGGAATCGTGACTCCGGCGGATGCTGCATTGATGATGCAGTTAGGGTGTGATGGTGTTTTCTTGGGTTCTGAAGTGTTCGATAATTGCTCGAATCCGTATAAGCGTGTTCGTGGAATCGTAGAGGCAGTTAGGCATTATAACGATCCTCATGTTTTGGTCGAGAACAGTTGTGGGCTGGTGGAGGAGATGGCGGGGCTTAATGTCAGTGGGGATTGAGAATATGAGTCCCTTTTTACCCCTTACTTTGTTGTTCTTTACTTGTTCTTGGTTTGCTATTTATAATTAGATATACCGTATTTTGTATGCCATACTAATACTAGAAATGAACTAGAATAAGTTGGTCATCAGTCTTTCAGCATCATTTTGTATGTTGAACGATTTGAGGCTATATATAATGCAGGAATGAACTAGAATAATCGAATGATCATTTTGCCCTTCATTATGTTTTTTCGAACATTCCCTGTTGTGATCCCATTATAGTATCTGCCTTTTTTGCTTCTTTGATAAACTCACACATAACTTGCAGACAATGTTACTACTTGAGTTCTTGGCTTCTTGCCCCTCACTACTTGAGTGATTAGTTGCTATCGAGTAATTACAGGTCCATAGAGTAATTGAGCTGATGACTGCCCTTGTTAAGTTCATTTCCTTTTTGTGGTTAAACACTCGTTCCCTTCTCTCAAAGGTTAACATGATAGAATGTGTTTTCTGTGTGTTGTATTTTCGTTTATCATCTCTTACTTTAGTTCTTGCAAATTAATTTTTTGGAGCTATTAGAGGAGATTCGGAACTATGATATTGGTACCACATGTTTACTAGTACAGTTGTGTACATAGTAGGACCTTGTTTTTGTGAGGGAAAACTACTGAGCTATTGCTTATCGGTCAGTTCCTTAGCCTATGTATGTGCTTCATTTATAAATTGTCTGCAAGTTGGAACATGATTTTTGGAAGTCACTGCTATATTACGATTTTGGTTGTACGCAGAACCCATTAATGCATCATTCAGCATTTATAAATTGATGTTTGAACGTCATCCTATAAATAATAGGATGAAGATTGCACTGTCACCCTGGGAACATCTTGTTAGATGTAAGTTGTTAATGGTGTTAGTTTAACGATAGGATCATGTAGATTCTCTTTTGCATTTCCGTTTGTACGAATGAATGCAAGAACTTCAAGAGAATACAATGCTCCTGGCTTATTTAAGAGTTATTGAATTCACCAAATGTCACTTATACGCTTCCTCTCTTGATAGAACCTGTTTTGCCGTTACTGAAACTCAAGGAACTCAAACCCCCGGAATACACACACACACACACAAAATCCTTGTTCTTGCTTTCCCGTGTTTATGTTGAAAGACAAAGTGCAAGGGTAAGCTACCATGCAAACTTAACCTCATCTTCACTCTTTTTTCCCTTTTTTTCATTCGGATTCATCACTATATAATGATTGCAGCATCATGGAGTTGGAGCATTGAAAGTTTCAAGTAATGGAGTACCAGCATAAACTACTTGCAAACTGAGGGACACAAGCACCGCAGATGTATCCTGAGCTAAGCAAATCTAACGATGAGAGTATGTGTTGGACAATTTGGAAGTGCAACTAATATTAGAAATACTAGGAGATTCGAGTAGTTGATGATAAGGAGAGTGACTCAACTTTGATGATTATGGTTGTGGATGCAATAAGCTATGATAAATTTATAAGATGGAGCATGCCCATGTTGATTTATATTATTTAACAGCAAGGATGAGGATATGATGTTGCCTTTTCTATACTCTGAATATGTTTAGGGATGGGTATAGGACTCAAATCAGACGATTTTTAAGTTTTAAAAAAACTGAGTTTGAATCGGGTCAAATATTTTTTACAACTTAAAATCCGTTTGAGTCCTATATCCATCCCTAATCTTCAAAGTTCAGATCGTGTTGGATTTTTTAAAGGTTATGCTCATATCAGACATGGAATTTAGATTGAAAAATATCCAACCCGACTGGTTAAAATCGTATAATTTTACTTTTTTATATTTATTGATAATTATAATAATTTTTCTCTATATATTATTTTTTAATTAAATTCTTGTTTTATTAAATAAAAATCATATTTTTAATAAAAATATTTTTTAGATCGAATTCATATTTATCTCAAAAAAATCAAATTGAATGAAAGAAGTACATTTTCAGGTCAAATTCGGATGGAGAATGTATAATTTCCGGGGATCAATAACCGAAAATCCTTACCTACCATACACATCCCTAAAGATGATGCCTTTTCAGTTGTTGACAGAAATAAAATTAAATATAAGTAACAAAAAATTAAATGTATAATATATCAATATTTATAAATAATATATCATTTCTTTCATTAAATATAAAAAATTTTGATTGATAATATTTAAATAATTAAATAATATGATTAATAGAATTAAAAAATTAGTTTCGAAATAAAATATAACCATCATTACGCGGTTATCATTGCAACTTTAAAATTTTTATGTATAAGACAATCGTTAATTCAAAAATATTTTCAACATAAATTAATATTTCATCGATTAATATTAATTTGATTACCGTTATTACTTGTAATATAAAAAATGTCGTGGATTCAAACGTTTAGATATACATAATAGTCTTCGATTTAAAAGATAATTCTAAATAGTGTATATAAAAATAAAAATTATAAAAATTAAAGTGTATTAATATGATGGACATTCATGGCAGGAACTCGGATTTAGACACCGGTAGTACTCGAGGGAGAATCGATATCGTTCTAATAATGATGATCATTCATGGCATGAACTCAATACAGTTCTGGATACACCAAAGATGAATAAGCACCCATTTTCACAACCTAAAGCTATCCATCTCAAACAGATCAAATGACAATTCAGGAAGCAGCCCTGAACAGGATGCCTAAGGAATCAGATTTGCACAGGAAATCCCATTAACAAATCACTTGAAAATGGTTTTACAATATTGACTTTCCACACAATGTTTTTAGCAAATTCAATTACGAAACTATAGCATCAGATCATTCCAAATGATGTCTAGAGCATCACAGTAAAAAACAAAAGATGTTATCATAATAGAAATTGTACTCACCAACACAAGCCACACTAGTTCATGTATAGATGAGTTTTAGATACTCATTTCTTTCCACTCTTCTTAAGTCCTGTACCACCAACTGGTCCCTTTGCTGCCTTAGCTCTCAGCTCTTTAAGAGCCTGTTCATCACAAAGAACAAAATCAGACCAAGGATTCACAGAACATACTTATAAAAAGTAAAAAAAGTTTTAAGGTAAAAATAAAACAACAAGAGTCACAAAACCAACACCTCACCTTCTCTTCTTCCTTCTTTTTCTGAATGTTAGCCATATCGACCTGCGAAAAAAAAATTAAAGGAGATAAATACAATTACATTATCATCAAAATTGGTTGAGAAATGAAATAGATAAAAAAAATTATAATATCAAATCACATAAGTTTTACAGGATTTTGCTCCTAATATCAGCAAAAACAAACGAATTCTAAGGTAGAACAGGAAACTAAATCTTGAAACGAATTAACACTTTTTAAGTAATATGCAAAACAATATTCAACTACATCGATAAAACATATACATCGATTCCAATAATATATATAATAATTGTGATACCTCGTCATATTCTTTCTTTGCAGTTTTAGGTTGCTTCAAAGGCTTCGCCTTGCCACCTAGATCCAAAAAAGAACACAACAAAAATCAGTATCTTTGAAATTAACAGAAATCGCGAAATGAAAGCCCTATCGAGAAATTTGAAGAATCGAAACTAACAAAGTCGAGATCATCGAATTTGAAAAAGAGATTACCTTGCTTGGACGACATGTTTATGAGGCTCGGGTTAGGGTTAACGGGTGAAAATAGAAAATAGATCAGAGAAATTGGGGAGACGGAAATTAAAAGCCCTAACCCTAAAACACACGGGAATGAGGAAAATCCACTAAAAAGCTCGTATAAATACAGAAAGTAATTTAACACGCGCTTAGCGCGTGATTATTTGCTGCCTCAAACTAAGAGAATCCAATTCTGGCTTCCTTTTCTTATAAAGTAAATTCTTTTTTAAAAAAGTATAAGGGCAATTTGCAATTTTTAAATGGTATATATTCCTTCCATAATGATCCGTTAATATAAGTTTTACATCATCATTTAGTTAAGAAATTAACAATAATTAATCGAGTCGCCAAAATGGCAAATTTGATTCAATAGAGCATTGAAAAAAATGAAAACTTTTATTTGGAGTGGTTCAGATTTTATTTTTTAAATAGGATGAAAGCTACAATAAATGTTGCAAGTCAATTGTAACGTCTACCGTGTTCTGAAAGATAATTAATTTAGTGTCTTCAAACTTTTCATTACCGGAACACCTAATGTTAGAGATGAGGATGTCGGATGATGTCGAAGATGAAGAGCTGAATATATCGGATTCTTCGGTCGTCTACCTGAAGGCATCATATGCTCCGACAGACTTCCGATGTTTACTATAACATAACATTTACTCTACTTCAAAAAATAATTTTTTTCACTGCCCCATTTCAGCCATTTTTTTTAATGCTCTGTCGTAGCATCGTTGCCCGCCAATATGTTTTAACATTTTGTTAGTTTGCATTGATAACTAACAGAAAATTAATTTTACTAATAGTTAGTCAAGCTTCACGTAGTTTAGTCTTTGATTGATCTTAGCGCCATCAAACTTGACCCTGTGGTGTTGTACACAGTTGAAGAACCGTGTAACACTAGGGCTACCCTAGAGGATTCTGGCAATTTGGTGCTGCATCAACTGAACTGGGATACATCTATATTCCATAGATCGAGTTCTACGAGAGAGATTCGATTATCCTATGGATACGCTTCTTCCGAGGATGCAACCAGTGATTAACTCTGAGACCCGGTACAACTGGTCGACAATCGACATCATGGGGAAGTCATAAGTCTCCTGCAACAGGGTCTTTTAGCCTCGGGTTGGACCCTAGTGATTCGAGTCAGTTGGTTATATGGTGGCGAGGGGAAGCCTACTGGAAAAGCGGGTCATTGTAACATGGTTTTCTCTAGGCCTTCTTATCCTATAAGTCCGACGATTTCGTTTACGTTATGGATGAGAAAGGAACGCACTTCAATTATACTGTGAAGAAAGCTGTCACCATTTTCTCGGGGCTAAAACTGAATTCGGAGGGCGAACTTGTGAGTTACAAGGCGGATCCGGTGGCTTCACAAGTTTCGTGTGCTAAAAACATGAGCATAGGTTGCTGAAACAGAACATACCTGCGTGGAGTAGAAGCTTGGGAAGTTTTCCAGCAGCATGTGGGCTTCATGTCCAAAACCAGATCTAAATTCAGCGAGACTGACAACCTGTCTCGTATCAATCGTCTGGCAGTGCTTGGAGCACTTAAGATTGTTACCCCAGTATGCTCAATATGTTACAAGATACGGAAAAACAGCAAAAGAGGAGGTAGTTAAACTTAGAAATGAACTAAAGTGACGATCTCGATTCTTTTAGTCATTTCGTTTTATGCTGGAGTAATCAATGAACACCCTATGATAAGTTGATAACATCCTCGATGTCTGAATTCATGTAACTTGATTATTAGGGGTTCGAATGACAATCCAAAGGATGCTGTTGAATGAAATCAGAGGTGATGCTATGGTTTCAACCAAGAGTGACACTTTGATAAAAGAGATGGACATGATAACTGGTTGGATCATGGATGTGTTCAGCTTCGAAAGCTTTGCTGCTGCTACAAACCGTTTTTCAGTAGCAAACAAGCCGGGAGCGGGTGGCTTCGATCGATAAGGTGGTAAATGAAGTCTGGAAACCGAACTTAATAACCATCGATAAGCGGGAGCGGGAGCGCGCCAATTGTTTCAATGTAAACTGGTGTGTTTAGCTTCGGTATCCTACTACTGGAGATTGAGTGGCAAGAAGAACAATTGTTGTTATCATCCAGAACGTTCACTGAATCTATAGGTTATGTATGTACACTTATTTTCATTTTTATTTGTTTTTAGAGTCGAATAATGGGTTGTTTCGGAAGCTACAATCGAATTCTTCGGTTATTCCTGATTTTCTGTACCGTGGTTTCCATCAGGCATGCCAACTTTAGAATGAAGGTCGAGGTATAGTGGTTAGACCCGATATCGGATGGGCTCCTGCAACCAAAAATGAAGCACTGAGATGCCTTCATGTAGGCCTCCTGTTTGTGTAAGACCCTGCAATAGATAGACCCACAATGGACGATGCTTTTGAATGAAACAACAGAGCTATCGGCATCGAAGCAATCGACATTTTTTTCGTTTATGCAGGTGGAGAAGAGGCAACTTGAGCTAAAACCAAGTGGAACAACTGTTCCATTAATCATGTTTCAGTCTCGGTAATGGAAGCAAGATGACCAGAGTTGCATAAAATGAAGAAAATGTTTTCTTTTAAGATTTGATCCTTCGTCATTCAAAATTTGTAATGGATTTATATGGGTGCACATTTGAATATTTGACATAATTTATTTTTTTTAATTTAAATGTCTGACAAATAATAATATTTAATTTAAATTCGAATAATAATATTCGAATAATTATAGATAAAAAACAGTTGCAAATAGATTTCACATTCAAATTCGGAGAATTGAAAAATCTTAGACATCCAACATGTTGTCATTTATACATATAAGCCTCCAAGTTTCTTGTTTTAATTTGTTTATGTATTTTTTTAATAATTTTTGTATCTTTATATATATATATACACATAGAGAGAGAGAGATAATTACATCACACATCCTTCAATTATGACCCTCATTTCAAATTGGTCATTAAACTATTGAACATTTTAATTTAATCCCCAAACTATGATCTTCATTCTAAATTGGTTCTCAAACTTTTTGAACATATAAATTTCAACCCAAATTACATGTAGATACTAATCACATCCATTGTTAATAAAATTGTTAATTATTGTATGTTTGGAAAAATAAAATAAAATTTAGATAAAACTATGGTTGAAACTAATTACATATTTGAATGAATTTAGGGATGAAATTGGAAGATTAAAAAGGTTAAACATTTCAACTTCATCCCCAAACTAGGACTCTTATTCTAAAATAGTCCTTAAACTTTTTAACATTCTAATTTCATCCCCAAACTATAACTCTTATTCTAAATCTTCGAATTTCATCCCTGAATTCATCTAAATATATAATTAGTTTCAACCATAGTTTAACCTAAATTTTATTTTATTTTTCCCAAACATACAATAATTAACAATTTTATTAACAATGGATGTGATTAGTATATACATGTAATTTGGGTTGAAATTTATATGTTCAAAAAGTTTGGGAACCAATTTAGAATGAATATCATAGTTTGGGGATGAAATTAGAATGTTAAAAAGTTTAAGGACTATTTAGAATAAGAGTCATAGTTTGGGTATGAAGTTGAAATGTTTAAAAGTTTAAGGATCATTTTGAATTGAGGACATAGTTTGAGGA